ACGCTTTTATTATAATAATTTAAGGGCTAATTATATAAATACGCCTAAAACCCTAGAATTTATTAAAAAAAAATTCTATTAAGAGGGCTTTATATAAAACGTTCGGAAATATATTATAAAGTGCGAATTATATTAAGGGATTTAAAAACCCTAATACCGACCCTACGGAGATTTTTAATCTTTATTATTATTTAAATAACCTTTTTAAAAAATTAATATCAATTTTATTATTAACCTTTTACCGAATTAAGGGGCCAATAGGAAAATATATAACGCTATTTTAATAATTATAAACTAATTTATTAAAATAATTTTATTTATATTTATTATTAAAACGTTTAATATAATTTTTATAACGTCCTTATTATATAAATATATAAAATACCGATTCGGCTTACTATTAAAAATTGTAAACGATAAGAATAAATTATTTATTAACGAATTTTAAAAGGAATTTATTAAAACGCGTAAAATCCTACGAAAATTATTTATTATATTCTACCCGTAAATAAATAAATAAACGGAACATTTATATTAAATTATCGAAAAGATTTTACGTATTCGAATTTTAAAAAGCGACCCTATATTTTAAAATAAAAAATTCCCGGAAGTAGAATTCGCGTATAATAATTCTACGTATATAATTATAAGGGTTTCGCTATTTAAAACCTTATATAATTATTACTTACGTATAATCGAATATATTAAGGGGCGGAATCTTATTAAAATTTAAGGCGTAAAAGAACGATTATAGAAATTAAAGGAAATTCGTAAAGTAATATAACGTTATTAAAATTAAATAATAGAAATATAAAAGAAGGGGTATAATCAAAGGTATACGCCGATTAAATTTTAATTAAATAATATTATAGGCCTATTAATTAAGAATTTCCGATTTAAAAATAGGAAATAAATACCTACGTATATTAAAATTAAAGTATTAAAGAAAATTAATTCTTAAGCGTATTAAATAGTTTTACCGATATAATATAACCGGATATATAATATTTTTTTAATTAATTTATTAGAATTTTAAAAGAGTAAAAAAAACGGAAATTATAAAATACTATTACCGGAGTTATATAATAAATAAAAGGAGTAAAAAATTAAAGAAATCGTAGATTATTGAAGAATAAATATAAATTAGAGGTTTTTAATTAAATAAATAAGGTAGCCCGTAGAGTATAATATTTAAGAATTTAAAAAATACTTCGAAAATACGTAAAAAGCGTTCTCTAAATATTAGAAAATTAAGTAGAAGTATTATAAGAAATAGGATAATTAGCGTAAATAAGAAATGAAAATTTATTATTTTATAATTATAAAGAATAATAAACGCCGGATATAGTGCGAAATATTATATATAAAATTCAATAAGCGAATAATTATTATATACCCTAATAGGGATAGGAATTAAAAATTTATTTATTAATAAGAAAAGAAATATTATCGCCGGCGGAAAATTTACGTAGCGGAATAAATTAAAAGTAATTTATATTAGAAATAAAATATTTAAAAACCGGTAATTTAATTTTAAATATTTTAATATAATATTAATTAAAAAATAATTGCGCCGAATTGCGAGTTAAAATTATAAAGAGTTTAGAGAATCCGAATATTAAAAACCGGAAGAAGAGCCTCTTTAATATTTTTATTAAATTAGGAATTTTCCGTCCGATAAGGATAGGTAATTAAATTAGGAGGACCTAAAATAACCAGTAAATTTTCTATTAGGATTATAAAAAATTTAATATATTAAGGGGAGAATTATTTTAATACTTCCTATTAAATTACAGATTCTCCGTCTAATAAAAATAAAATAATTAAATTAAGAGAATTTAAATTAATTAATAAATTCTTTATTAAAATTATAAAAAATTTAATATATTAAAAAAATAATTGTTCTAATATTTTTTATTGGAATAAAGATTCTCCGTTTAATAAGGATAAGATAATTAAATTGGGGGGATTTAAAACCAATCGGTAAATTCTTCCTTAGCATTTATTTATAAATAACGTTAAGGGTTACCCGGTTTAATATAATTATAATGGCCTAAATTATAGAAAAATTTATAACCGATTAATAAATACGGATATTAATAAAACTTTTTAAATAAAGGAAATATAATAAATTACCGATTATATAGAGTAAATAGTCGTCGGTCGACGATATAATTTAGAATATTTCCGGCTCCCGGAAATAATTAATATATATTAGGGCTTTTAATAATTGAATTAGCCGGTTAAAGTTAATAAGTCCTTCCTTATATTTTAGGGATTGTAGGGGTTTAATTCTAAAAAGAAGAAAAGTAATTCGGGTTAAACCTTAGAACCGATTCCGGATAAAATTTTAATCCTAATTCGGGATAAAATTTCTATTTTATTTCGGAATTCCTTTAAAATCCTTAATTATTTAGGGTAAAATACTTTCTATCCGGAGAAAGGATATAAAGGGAAAAGAATACCGAAACGGTAAATAAAATATATAATGCGCGGAAATTAAACCGTTTCGGAATCGGTTTCCGGGAACCTAATAGTAACCTTAGAGGGCGAATATTAATTATAAAGCCGACCGGCTATTATAATGCCGCGGCTAATAAGCGTGGAAATATTAATATAATATAAATAACCGGGATAAGCGGGGACCGTTACTTCGTTTAATATATTAATATAAATATCGCCGGTCGGTTTTTAAGTCTTTTAATAAAATTATTTAACGTAGAAGCGTCGCCTCTATGGGTACTATAATAATTATTACGTAATAGTACGGTTTAGGGATTAAATTAGCCGGGGGGGGGAATAACGCCAATGCGTAAAATAAGAACGGATAATTAGACGGTATAATAGGAATAGATAATTAAACGGTATAATAGGAACGGATAGTTAGACGGTATAATAGAACCGAGGCGTAGCGTAATATACGAGCGGAAAATAGGGTTTTCTAAAATAAGAAATAAAGTTTTCTACGGATTATAATAATTAATATTAGAATTATAAAGGATTATAACTTCTAAGGGGGGGATAATTATAAGGGTATTATTAAGAAGGCTTAGGGGGACCCGTATAATTAGGGTATAATAATTTAAGATAATAAATAAAATAGTAGATAAAATAAGGATAGTAGGATATAATATAGAAGAAAGGATTTCGGAGTCCGGGCGCCGACTGTTCCGGATTTATAGGGAAGCGTATAAGTATAAAAGAGGATAGCTCTTAATTAGAAACTTATATTTAGCTAAGCTAAAGTCTTTTTCCCAAAATAGACTTACCTTATACGACTTACTCTCACCCTCTCGTACCTATGACTTTACATAGTAACGCTTTAACTTTTTCTCTAAAAAATATATCTTTAAACCCTTTTAACGCTAGGGGAATATTATTTATCGCGCTTTCGGGCGGCTTTTTATTTTCGTCTACGTTTTTAAAATCCGGCTTTAATAAATTATATATTAAAAATAAATTAATAATATTAATTCGGTTACTATATATTATTTTACGCGCAAAAATTATAATATTAATAAAGGGTACCTATTACGGCACTAAATTATCGGCAACGCTCCCTAAGCGTCTTAGTACCGAATTATTAGCGGAGTATAATCGTGCTTACAATTATATCTCCACCTCACTTATATATATAATCCGGGAATAGAATTTTCGCTACTCTCTCTCGATTTTCTCCTCTTCGTATAATAATACGTCTTCTTTAAGCTTCTACTAAATCGGTATCGTAATAATTTATTATACGAAGAGGAGAAAATCGAGAGAGAGTAGCGAAAACTCTACTCCCGGACTATATATATAAATAAAGTAGAAATATAATTATAAGCACGACTATACTCCGCTGGTAATTCGGTGCCAAGACGCCTAAGGAGTGTTACCAATAATTTAGTGCCGTAATAATACCCCTTCAAATTCAAATTCGTTTTTACTAATATATATAATAATACTTTTAAAACCTATACCTAATATAAATAATAATAATAATAATATTTAATTATTTCTTCGGATCGTATAAAATAATTAAATAAATTCTCTTTTTTAACCCTTTTAATTTTTTAAAATAAATATTAATTCGTACGTTCCGTAATAACGCATTTCTTTATTATTCGTATTTATTAAAATAAATAGAATATTAATTTCTATTTTCTTTAGTTTATATTTCTTTATAAAATTCTTATATATAATATTAACCTTTATTTTTAAATTTAAGTCTATATATTCTTCTAATCGGCGACCCTTTAATATAATTAATATTATAAAAATCTTACCTAGCCCATTTCTTCCGGCCGTTTTAAAATTTATTTATTTATTGTCTTATCACGCTAACTAGTTAAACTAGAACCTAATAGGTATGCGGTGCAGCTTCCGTTCAAATTCTAGAGGAAAAACCGTATTATTGAAATCCGGGTGAAAACCTCCAGCTTCTTTATTAATCCTAACCCTCCTTCAACCTTTTTCCGTCTCACTACGGGGCTTAAGGGGATTTTCCGGATTCTTCCGAGTATTTATTTCCGTTCTAAATACTTCGCCGTTCCCGGTGGAACTTTTTAGGGGCTCTTTATTAGTACCTCGTTTCCCTACCCTATTGCTTTTTATCGTTATCGTTATCGTTATCGTTTTATTTTCCTTCCTAAAGTATAGAGGGTAAAGAAACGGGGATTTCTCGGGGGTTATCTCGCTAATCGGCCAATTAGCAATGTCGAATAAATACCGGGAATCGTAAAATATTAGCTAATTCACTTAATTAAATAAAATGGGATAATTTAAGATTATAGAGGTGGACTAGGACTCTTGGAAATTAATTTTTAAAATAGGGTTTAAAATTCCGAAAACCCTAATAAGCGGAGAGAGGAGAGGCCGTTATCTTCTTATCGAAGAAGAGTTTAACACGTACCAAGTCACGTAGCCAAGGTTTTAAACTAGGGCGAGCCCCCGACTCTTTTTAACGTTCTAATTTTAAGCGGGAACAACGGGGAGATAATGCCGAAAAACTTCGGCTGGGGGAGGAGCGGGAATCGAACCCACGACCTTTCGAATAAACGAAAGGGGAACCAAAACTCAGATCTTCCCAACTGAGCCATCCTCCCCGTTTTAAAATTACTAACCCTATTAAATAACGGCTCTTTTATAAAACTTAACCTTTTACTAATTCTTTAATATCCGAAATATAATTATCTTCTTTATTATTATTACGTCTAGTATTTTATTTAATAATTACGCTTTAAATAATAACCTTCTCTTTCGGCCGGTCCTAATTATTTATCTTTTTATACTTTATATAATTACGAACGTAATATCCTTTATTTTTATAATTATAATAATTTAGGCCGGATTTATTATTATTTCTATTTTATTTATTAGGGGATTAATTATTTTTATAACTTTTACGCCCTCCGGAATTATAATCCCGATTATAATCCTAATTATAATTTCAATTATAATCCTTATTATAATTAAAACGTTTATTATTCGAAAACCCTTTATAGCGTAAAAATTATTTATTATAATAACTTTTATTTAATTCGTCCTTCGGAATTCATTTTTTATTTTTAAATTCGATTTACTAATTTATTACCTTCGAAATGATCTCTACTAAATTATTAATAAAAATTTAATACGTACGGAAGTAATTATATACGTCTTTCTTTAATTAAAAAAAGAAATCGTATATTAATTACTTATTTACAATAATATTTCTATTAAATTATTAATAATTATATTAATATCGGTCCTATAACTTTTACGGGTCTTTATTATCGCTTTAACGTATAAAGAATAATTATTCTTTAATATCGAATTCGTAAACTTCGGGGGCAATATATTCCTTACGAATAAACCCTAAAATTTCTTCCTATATCGCAAATTGTTTTTAACCCTTATTATCGAAGAGGGTAACAAAATATATATATTATAAAATAATTATAAAATTATTAGCCTTAAAAAGGGCCTATTAAATAAATTAATAAGTATTAATACTTTTACGAATTTAATTACTATTTTCGATATTATTAATCTAATTTTCGACTTCGATATTTATATTATTCGTTATTAATTTATAAACGTTATACGTAGGGGGACGTAAATAGGATTCTTTATTTCCTTAACCTATAATTTTCTATATAAATTATAATAATATTTATAGGAATTATAGTATTATTTTTATAAATCTTTAATATTCGCGCTATTTTATACGCTTACGTTCGTAGGATATTTACCGTTTATAACGTTCTTACGCGGAAGAGAAGCTATTAAAACGGCCGGATTAATCGGATCGGGCGGACGGGGAATAGGAACGGGTCTAAGAATAAAAATAAGCATAAAATTAAAAACGGGAATAAGAATAAAAACGAAAATAAAATTAAAAATATTCGTTTAATAAGCGATTACGAACAAATAAAGAACGGTTACGTTAATTAAATTTTAAAGGGTTCCTACTTTAATAAAATTTTAATTATAATTATTATTCCGCCCTATTAATATAATACTCCCTTTATTAATAAAGGCTCCTAAAGTAATAACGGTTAAAAGTATATAAATTCTTTATTAAATACTATTCTTCAATCCGTATTTAAATTTCCTATTTAAAATTACCTTCGGATTTTTCGCGCAATATAAATTCAGATTATAATTTATTATTATTAATATTATTATATTTATCGCTAGAATCTTTTCGGATAATATTATATTTAAATTCGTAAAACGTTACTTCGTAATCGTTTTCCCCGTATTTATTAATAACCCCTTTATTAATAAAATTTTTAATTATATTATTAATAATACGTAAATAATTATACATTTCTTATATTAGGCTTACGTTATTTTTATAACGAGAATTAATAACGCCTTTTCCGCGCGAACTCTCTTTACGTATATTAATTATATTTACGGCCTTTATTAACGGAATTGTAGAAGCTAAAAAATTTTAAAATTATAAATACGAGAGCGTAAAAATAGGTCGTATAAGGTAAATCTATTTTAAGAAAAAGATTTTAATTTAATTAAATATAAATTTCTAATTAAGAATTATTTTCTTTTATATTTATACGCTTCCCTATAAATCCGGAATAGTCGGCGCCCGGACTCCGAAATCCTTTCCTCTATATTATATCCTAGTATCTTTATTTTATCCGCTATTTTATCCGTCGTCCTAAGCCATCATACCCTAATTGTGCGGGTCCCCCTAGGCCTTCCTAGCGATACCCTTACAATATTATATACGGTAATATTTATTTATACGCTTAGTCGACTAATTATTTAAAAATATTAATATAATTAATACGAGGGGAATATTAATAGAGTAGAAGTTTATAATATTTTTATATATTTATACTTACGATAAACTTTAGCGAAATATAATTTATTGGTTTAATTATAATATTAGGACTATTAATTGTATTTTTAACGAAATATTAGTCGTAATAGTTTTATTATATATTAAAATTATTATTCTCTTAGAATTTAATATAATATATAAAAATACGCTACGGGAGTAAGCGTTAAACGATTCTTCCGAAATTATTTTAATATTATTAATAGGACTTCAATTTATATCTGCGTACTAATTAATAAAATTAATGCTTAGCGAGGTCATAAAAATTATATAATATAAAACGTATTTATTACGATCGGTCTTAATAGGTTATTTATATATATTTTTCTAAGAGTAAAGGGATTAATATATAATATTAGGTTATTAAAATTAGCTTTCGTATTTAAATTTATAATATTGATTAAAAAATTTTACTTTACCGACGTTAAATTTTATATAATATAGGGCGTTTTTATATTATACATTATAATACGTTATTATTTTATTAAATAGAGTATTAGGAAAGGTCGACCGAAGAATAAAAAGGAGTTATATAATTTAAAGTATTTAAAATACCGTACGAAGGTCGAGTTTATCGGTAAAATAAAGCGGCGGTTCAAAATCGTATAATCGTTAATTTTAGAATATTCGATCGAAATTCAATACAATTTTATATACGTAATTACAGCGTTTTATAATTAAATTAAAAGGAATAACCCAAATAATTTAAAACCTCCTATTAATAATAAAAATATTATTATAACCGTTATAATCGACGATATTAATAAGGAGGATATAATTAAGGAGGAGGAAATAATCGAATAAAATAATTATATAATAGCGTTTAAGAATACGTTAGTATAACGAATATAAGTAATTTATAGTAATTAATGTTTTATATAGGCGGTTTAAAGGCGGGTTAATCGCGTAATTAATTTAGTATTAAAATATATAAAAGGGAAGCGCGTATAATATTTTTCGTATAATAATAATTATATAATTAAATATTATTTAAATTTTAATATAATTATATTATTTTATTCGTTGGATTATTTTAAATCGATTAATATTAATTATATAAATTTTGGAGTTGAATTAAAAGAGAAATTAATATTATAAAACCGACCTTATACGTAGGGTTAGGGTTTATATTTTTTAGGTCGGGCGTCCGAGCCCTTATATTTACGTTATAATTATTGGCGGGCGGGTATTCGAATATTTAAATTATTAGATTTTTTTTTTATTAATTTTATTAAATTTTTTTATTATATAAGATTAATTACTAGAGCCCACTTTATAGGGTAGTAAGATTGGTTATTAGAACCTATTTTATAGGGTAGTTAAATTGGTTATTAGAGCCTACTTTATAGGGTAATAAAATTAGCTATTAAAATCTACTTTATAGGGTAATAAGATTAGCTATTAGAGTTTACTTTATACGGTTGAATTTAGAGATTTTCGAAAAAAAAATAATAAAATTTTTATATTTCCTAATAATAATAATAATACGTCGAATTATAATAAATTTTTATTACGATATAACTTTCCTACTATAATATATACGAATATAAAAATAAGATTATTAGAATCGTATCGACGAGAGTTATTAAATAGTATTAAAATTATAAAATATTTTTTATAATTTTAAAAAAAAATTAATCTAAGTTATTAGGTTTATTTCCCTCTTCGGATAACGATTTCGAATTGTATATAGGCTTATTTTTTAATATTATTTCCGCAACGAAGTCCCTACCCGATAGTACGTTGGTAAAGAAACGCGCTATAGGTTTATCCTTTTTTAACCCTTTTAAGAGTTTTTTCTTATTTATTCGAATTATATGGCGGTACGGCGAATTATTTATTAACGTAAGGAAGTAAATTTCGAAGTTATAATTATAAATTTATTTAAAAGCCGCCGCCGTTAGAATAATAATAGGGATAATAACGTTAAAAGGATTATTTATAATAATAAGAGAGAAGGAGTATATATTATATAATAAATATTTTTAGGCGTTAAATATAAAATTAATTAATTTAATTATATTATTAACGGCCGTTATATTACAGGCTTAGCTTAGTAATTGCACGTGATTTGGTTACGTGCTTGTGCCAAGGTTGTGATTATTGCTAAGATAATTACAACCTTGCTCGGCTAGCCCGCCGCCGCGGTCGTACAGCGATACGGTCGCGGTCCCGGTTATATAACCACGCGTGCCCTACGCGCGTATAATTTATACGCCGTACCCTTATAAAGGCAGTTACCTACGTACAATTTCGCTCCCTTTCTTCTTTTCCTTCTTCGTATAATATTATATATCCTATTCTATTTACTTTAATCGTATTTACCCGTAATAATATATTATACTTTATTATTGCGTTTATAACGTATAATTTTCGATTATTTAAACGTATTAGGATCGCTTTATTTATAAATCGCTAAATTTAGTATTTTTTCTTTTTTTCGATAATTAAAGTAATTTCCTTTATTATAATAATTTCGATTATTAATTATTTATTAAAATTACGTCCCTTTATTTAAGGAATAAAGGTGGTTTTCTTTTTATTTAGCGGATAAAAGTAAATACCGCGTTTCTTTCTCTTTTTCCGTTTTTAAAATCGTTTTATAAATTGTAAATTTTCTTTTTATTCGTTAATATCTAATATAAGTAATAATAACAATCCTACGTACTTTTTAAGAAGCGACGACGAATTCCCTACGATTTTTCGCTCTTTAAATATTAATAAGCTATTTATAAATAAACGATTTATTTATTTATA